CGAAGGGACTGTCGTACAACATATGGTGAAGACTAAAGTACGTAGCGGTTAATACATAATGCATTTCATTATAGAATATTATTTCATAACGAAAGATCGCCCTTATTAGTTAGATGTGAACTACGTTGTCCTACGGGATGAAAGAGAGATATAGATAGATAGAATGATAGAGAGAGAGAGAGAGAGAGAGGTTGCTTTAAGTGCTACACTTTAACGTTGAAAGCCTCCCCATATTAGACTATAATTGTGCTCCCATAAAAATCACTTAGTTTTAACGTTCTTTTTTTTTTCCGAGCCTTCCTCGTAACCCGATAATATCTTTTTTCCTCTCTTTCTTTACGTTTCTCTTTTTATTCTCTTTCTTTCTCTTAAATATTTTTTTTCCTTTTTTCTTTTTGTTCGTTTTTTTTTTTTTTCATAATTCACTCGCGCACAAATTCTTATCATTCGATCTCCCAAGAAGAAATATTATGATCTAAAAAAGGTATTTATCTCCACAGTTTTCAGTTTATACAGGTTAATCTAGACAACAGCTGGCAAAGCGCTGATAGCTAATCGTTTTCAAACGAAATAGAAGTGATGATAAAGTTTGAATGTATATATATATATATATGGAAATACATGCATACGATTAAAAGAGATTTTCGTTTGATCGGCTTATAAAATTCGTAAATGTATTAAGTGGTAATAGTAATAATAATTCTATATATAGTTATATCTATGTATATACTTCATAGATATATATATATATATATATATATATATATATATATATATATCTTTGACAATAAAATTGTTAATTATACCTATGTACATAATAATGTCAAAGGGCGAATGTATAAGCACATTTAATTTTTCTATAGAGAACATTCAATTATATTGTGAACCCAATGACGAGGACCACTAGGGAAACACAAAAGCTTTTGCGTGCACACGTGCGAGCGAAAGAGAGGAAAAGAAGGATGAAGAGAGAGCGAGAAAAAGAGAAAGAGAGAGAAAAATTAACAAAGAGTAGATTTTTATTATGTTTCACGACCAAAAACAATTACTTCTCTTTCGCGTTTATATGGTAACCATATTGCGACATTATAATACTTTTTAATGTTGATAACGTCGGTAAAAACAAATTAATTAGACATTTTTCCTTGGTAAATCTCATCTCGACAATGTAAATCCTATGTCTAGCGTGGGATCTCAGTGAGCTTAATTTTTTCATATAACAAATAAATAAATGAAATATTTAAATAAATAAATATATAAATGAATCAACAAACAAACAAATAAATAAATAAATAATTTTCTCATCCCGTTGTAGAGATTACGTTTCTCTGTTAATAATACCGACATTTATTCGATAATGAGAGAGCACTTTAAATATTGACATTTGTTTAACAAAATCTATTAAAATATAAAATATACTTTGTAGGTTATATAAACGCATCGCATATATAATTGTAAATACATATATATATATATATATATATATATATATATATATTTATGTAAAGAGAATATATTCTCTTTGATATATTACATTGTGACTTCAAATTAAATTTAAATATCGGATGCAATATCCAATACATTTTTCCGAAATATCATTTCTTTTCTACTTGAATATCTATGTGTACACATATATGTACATACGTAAATTTATATTCCATGTAAGAAAACAATTTTCAAAGCTTAACAGTGGATCTGTTTAGAAAGTAATATCTAAAGTAAGTTTACCTCATTCTCCTCGATATGATAACAGGAATCGAGTTTTCTCTTTTATCTAACGAAAATCTCTAAAGGAAAAAAAAAAAAGTAAATAATAGCAAAAAAGAAAAAAGCTTTCAACGATAATCCAAAGAATTTATTATAGATAAATATACATTTATATATATATATATATATATATATATATATATATATATATATATAGGCCTAATGGAAGAAAAAGAAAAAGGGAAATAGTGTTTCCCTTTGGAGTATGTTTACTGTTATCTTTTTCCGAATAGGGACAAATATTCTCGTAAATCTTCATAACCTTTCACATCCGTTTATAAAGGAACATGAAGTATGAAGGACAATATATATGTACGTATATGTGTATGTGTGTGTGTGTGTATACGTATGTATATAAATATGTACATATGTTTCTATATCTCGATATTATTAAAAACTATTCCTTCAACTTGCTCCTTTTCTTTCCATTCTTCGTAGCTTTTGTACAAACAGAAATATTTCATTGTTATGTATAGAAAAAAAAAAAGAACAAATGAAAAAAAAAGAAAGAAAAAAAAAAAAAAAGAAAATGTATAGGCGGCAGTGAATATCGAGAGATTGATGTGTTACTCTTGTGACTAATAAAAATAAATTCGTATGTTCGAACAATTCGTTCTCACTGGGAAGAAAGTAAAACTTTCATACGGAAGAAAGAAATTTGCAATAAAGAAAAAGAGAGACAGAGAGAGAGAGAGAGAGAGAGAAAGAGAGAGAGACAGAGAGAGAAAGAGAGAGAGAAATATAGTTTCTAAAAGGTACGATATTTTGTATATCATCAAAATATTTTATCTTATTTTCTAAGAAATATGAATAATTTTTTACATAATAAAAGAAACAAGAATTCTTATTTTTATTGTTAATGCCATTTTCGTAGCAATGCGTATGAAAAAAAAAAAAAAAAAAAAAAAAAAAAAAGAAAGAAAAAAGAGAAAAGAAAAAATTACTTGCTCTCTCACTATCTTTTATTATTCGCATAATTATACGCGCGTGTTTAGCCCCAAAAGGAGAGAGAGAGAGAGAGAGAGACAGAAAGAGAGAAAGAGAGAGAAACGTCGCTACTTAGCCTTGCGTGCATTTTAAAATGGATGCATGAGTTCCTTTTCTATTCACCCTTTGCTCTAAATACGATTCCTCTGTTAAAAATATTCTTCTTTTTTTGTTTTTTTTTTTTTTCTTTCTTTGTAAACGTGAATGTTTCGCGGCGTGCACTCTCTCGCGCGCGCACGTGCGCGTGCAATTGTTTGAGCGAAATTTCTTCTTTTTTCTCTTTTCTCTTTTCTCTTTTCTCTTTTTCTTCTTTTTTTCCTTTTCATTTTTCATTATACAAAAAATGTCTTCGCTCGCAAACTGACCGAGTAATTTTTTATATATATATATATATGTCTTCTTTTCATCAGTTTAAAACTATGATAGCCTAGAATCAACTAATTATTTAATCTCACCCGGCGACATTAATAATTTCCGGGGCTGCGTGTTAACCAAGGTTTTACTTCCACTTTATGCGAGATATTTACTCGGAATTGGATCGTACTATATTCAACGTGAAAATGTATTTGTGCGTGTGCTTGTACATATAAGTGTATATATGTGTATGTGTATGTGTGTGTGTGTGTGTGTGTGTGTGTGAGTGAGAGAGAGAGAGAGAGAGAGAGAGAGAGAGAGATTATACCTTGTACGTAATCAGAGCGTGTTTGTCGCGTGTGTTAATAGTAATCGAGTTTATTATTATCGTGTGTATATCTTGATAATTAACGACCTTCGAGTTTCGATCCAATCTACGTAGAGTGGTTAAAAAAAAAAAAAAAAAAAAAAAGAAGAAGAAGGAAAAATAAATAAAAAACAAAGAAAGAAAAGAAAGAGAGTATGTTAATTAGACATTCTTTCGAAATTTATCTCAAGAAATTTCATTCGGCTAATGCAACGTCCATAGGATAGAAGGAGAAAAAAGAAAGAAAAGAAAAAGAAAAAGAAAAAGAAAAAGAAAAAGTGTCACAAGAGTTTTTAATAATTAATAATATATTAATATCATAATAATAAATTATTAAATATCCTCTATGTACATGTTTCAATAATTTACAAATTATTAAAGCATTTTAAAGAGTTAATTTCGAGTATATATATATATATATATATATATATATATATATATATATATATATATACCTTTTTTTCTTATTTCTTTTCTTTTTTTTTTTCTTTTTTTTTAACGAAGAAATAGATACATACGTTCACGTAAGGTTTATCTAAATAATCGAGATAAAATAAAAGATTAGAATTTATTTCGCAAAACGAAAAGAGAAAATTGGATCGATCGATTTCGAGTATAAGCATATGGTTCTTCGTTCGATAGGAAACACGTAACACATTAAAACACGTATGTGTGTGTGTGTGTGTGTGTGTGTCATGACGTTAGACAAAGTAAGCGAATAATGATCAACGTCTGTACTCTCTATATACCAGCCATCTTTAAATAAACTCTCGTAAAGTATTCAAGAAGAATTTATAGGGTAAATCGTTAAATTTAATTCGTTTACTTCCTAGAACACGTAAATGTTACCCGTTCGTCTTCGAGAATAATTTCATTTTACAAATGTAAAAGGCTTGTAAAAAAAAATCTCATCCTTCGAATTAAATCAAATATTTATCATATAATCATAATATTACAAAACGTATATAATAAAATTTTTATTTAAATTACAAAACGTCAAGAAGTGATAAAAGATTTCAGATTTAAATGTAATCGCATTCCATTGCGGCTGTCTCTAAATTAAATTATCAAATTATCCGACTCTCTCTCTCTCTCTCTCTCTCTCTCTCTCTCTCTTTCTCGTTCTCTTTTTCTTCATTTTTCGATAAAAAGAATTTATCGAATTATACGTCACCGATTTAAATTAATTATTCCATTATTTCCTTCGTCAAATCCTCCTCGTTTTAATCGCACTCATTGCACGCTCAACGAAATTCCCGATATTGACAAATCCTTATAACTTTGTCAGATCTCGTCAAAGAATAATAATCCTACATTTCGTCGTAATTTTCATATTATCCTTGAAAGAATGTCATCGCATTTGACAATAAATTTACTTATTATAATGTATTAACGTATTCGACTATATACGTACGTATATACATTTTTTATTTTTTTTTCTTTTTTTTTTTTTTTTTTTTTTTTCATTGTCTTTCATCGACGATAAAATATAAACGAAAATATCGATCTTCTTTTTTGATTACAGATGACGAGTAGAAATTTGTTGCTAAAGTGATAGGGGAAAAAAAAAAAAAAAAAAAAAAAAAAGAAAAGAAAAGAAAAGAAGAATCCAGGAAAAATAACATCCAAACTGGAGGGATCAAAAGAGATCGTGTAAAAGATGCGGTTCCTCGTGGAGAGCCGCTCGACAACCGATCGGAAAGGTATTGTCAAGGATGATTCGTTGGATAGGAATGTTGGCTCTGGCCAGATCGTGGAAAACAGTATCATCATTATCGTCAGCAGCAACAATAGCAGCAACAATTTCATCATCATCGTCATTGGTAACAACGGTGGAAGATCTATCGGGAAAATTATTATCAACGGTATCGATAACGTTAGCTTTAAAGACGATCGTATCATTATCGAAGGTAACAAAACGTTTGACAGGCTCGACGGGATTATTAAAAAAATTCGTGAATACGACGGAGTCATCGAACATAATATCGAGAATAATATCGAGGAAATTGATTACGAGGATTTATTGGACATTGCGATCAAGGAGATTCGCGATTTCTTGGAATGTACGTCATCTATCCCCTCGACGAGCTTCTTCGATTATATGAGAATCCTTTTCGCGAGTCCTTCGAGCCATTGACATTGAACATTAACGGGACTAATTCTGTTTCGTCGAGTTCGAGTGTTTATCACGAGCGAAATCATAATTATCGTCGTTCGGGTTGCGTCAAATCTGTCGTAGTTGATAAAATTGATGAATACGACGATCGAACGAGAATAGAAGAAGTTAATTTGAATAGTGTACGTAAAAAGGATAATAATAATAATAATAATCATAATAATAATAACAATAATAAAAATAATAATAGTAGTAATAATAATAATAAGAATAATAATAATAATAATAAAAAGAAAATCAAGAAGATTAAGCAACAAGGTGGTAAATTTAAAAAAAGGGAGCAGCAATCACGTTACGATAACGATAACGATAACGTCTCTCGTGATAAGGCGAGGCAGGTGCCTCGAAAAAAAGGCCAGAATATGCAAAACAATCGGAATAACGCTGGCGACGATACTTCCGCCGCTGCGGCCGCCATCGCAGCCGCAGCAGCCGCCATTGCTGCTAACAATCCTTTGAAGGATTTGACACAACCGAATCTAAATGATTCCCTTAAACAGCATAATGTCAACGCTCTCAAACTCGTCCAAACCGGTAAGTCATTTTTATTACCATCCTCGATTTTATTTAATAATTATAACCGTGATTATCACCATTTTATCTAAATTTATATTATCTCATCTTAAGATTATTATTCTTATATTATCTAATTTATTTAACAACGAAATATTTTATCATCGGATCCGATTCGATTCTTTTTTTTTTCTTTCTTTCTTTCTTTCTTTCTTTCTTTTTTTTTTCTTTTTTTTTTTTTTTTGTTTAAACGAATCGATAATTACCATTATAATTATAACAAAAATAAAAATAAAAATTATTTTAATTGCTGCAGATTCAATTGTCGTGAGAAGATGATTTTTTTTTTTAAAGTACTAATTTAAGATCAATCGAATAATTATTATTGATATTTTTAAAATAACGTGAAATCTAATCACAAAATGTCGAATATATTTCATTCTAAATTTCTCTATTCTATTAAACGATAATAACAATTCCAAAAGGCTCGAAAGGATCAAAGAGGATTATTATCCTGGTTTTCGCGTAACAAATACAATGGTAGGATCGATCTAACACGAGAGAACTAAATACCAACTAATGAAAGACACTATTTTATATATATATATATATATATATATATATATATATATATATATATTCAATGGGGAAAGTCACTCGGTTCGGATTAGTTGGGGTTGGATTTAAAGCTTTGAAATGGTCTTAACGATCTTGAATTATTTTACCCTCGACCCTAACTGTTCCTCTTGGAATCACCAAATGTACCAAAAAAGTATACAAAGTACCAAATTTCTTTCGTTATCTTATCTTATCTTTTTTCTTTTCTTTTCTTTTCTTTTCTTTTCTCTTCTTTTCTCTTCTCTTTTTTTCATACTACTCGTATAATAAAAGAAAAAAACAAAAAAATCTAATCGTTCGGAAAACTCATCGAAATGATTAATTTGTTAGTTTATGAATTTATTGGCGAATAAAAATTCGCGATTATTTTTATTCTCAAACGATACCGAGCTATTGATAAATTAATTATACAAAATGTAAATTAGAACATTGTAGACGAACGTACATCCATGCATACACCTTCGAAAATTTACATATACACGTATTTGTCGAATTTATATGTTAGTTGTCTCTCTCTCTCTCTCTCTCTCACACTTTCTCTCTCTCTCTCTCTCTCTCTCTCACTCTCTCTCTCTCTCAATCACTCTGAAACGCATATACTTGGATAATAGTAAATATTAGATGACAAATACGATCACGTATAGTACGTACTCTATCATGAATAATACGATATAGTTAGAACAACGAAATGATCCTCTCCTACTTTTCAACACCTACGTTTTAACGACTATTAATTTTCCCGGATTTGATTTATCACACGTTCAAGAAGAAAAACAAAAATATAACTATGAAAATCTATCGGCTGCCTACGGTCCGTACTAAATTGATCGCGAGTAAATTACTATACTCCTGACGACGAAAACATGTATAAAGAGATATTCGACAAAATGAAAATTTGAAAATAGATCTATCGATTTATGCTTCTTTTTTTTTTTTTTTTAAATGTTTAACGCCTGTATGTTGATAACGGCCAATTCGTTTCATCTTAAATTTTTTTTTTTTTTTGATAAGTGCAATTATACGAATAATAGACGACAATAATTTTCCTCGAAATCTTATTTCTTTCTCTTTTTTTTTTATTTTCCCCCTTTCCTCTTTGTTCCCTCGTCGATCTTTTTTTTTCTTTTTTCTTTTTTGACGATTCAAAGTGCCGGACTGAAATAAAATAAAATAAAATAAAATAAAATAAAATAAAATAAAATAATATAAAATAAAATAAAATAAAATAAAAAACAGAAATAGAAGAAGATGGAAAAAATATAAAGAAAACATTCGTATTTTTTACTTTTCTTTTTATTTTCTTTTTCTATCTTTCGCCGCAATTATTATCCTTGATAAATCTTTAAATAAATTCATGAAAACCATCTGTTATATCTTTGATAAATATAGTCTGACGTATGATAATAAACGATAATTTTTTTACGTCCAAACTTTTTTTTTCTTTTTTTTTTTTATTCCGTCGATCCTTTTAACGTTCTGTGCTAAAATAAAGAAAAAAAGAAAAGAGAAGGAAAAAAAAAAATATATATATATATATAAAGAAGGTATTCGCAATTATTTCTTCCTTCTTTTTTTTTTAATTATTATGCTTGATAAATCATCAAATAGACTTCTTAAGAATAATTGAATAATTCAATAAATTCTTTCTTTCTTTATCTCTCTCTCTCTCTCTCTCTCTCTCTCTCTCTCTCTCTCTTTTTCTCTCTGAACAATATACGTAGAATTTACGTGAAAGGAATTTCGAGAGAGAGAGAGAGAGAGAGAGAGAGATAGAGATAGAGAGAGAGAGAGAGAGAGAGAGAGAGATGCCTATATAAAATTCTTCTTTGATTCGTCGTGTCTTCCTCGTTGAAGCGAAAACTTTCCTTACAGAGACAGAGTGAGAAAGTCGAATGGCACGCGTACCTTCCTAAAGCACGTGAAACTTTCGCAACAACGACGAAAATGACGAAGACGAAGATGACGACGACGATGACGATGACGACAATGACGACAATGACGACAATGACGACAATGACGACAAGTAAGGGAAAGTAGCTTCGAAAAGCACTTGGCTCGCCACGAAGCTCGCACTAACTTTCAATAACTTATGCCTACCACCTTCGAGACTTTATTTTACGACGCTCTAGACTGCCTCTACCTTTTCCTCTCTTCCTACTCTCTCTCTCTCTCTCTTTTTTTTTCTTTCTCTTTTCCTCTTCTTCGTTGCCTGTCACTTCAATCAGCTGATCTTTTTGACCCTTTGAGAACTAAGCTTGTATAACCATCTAAAGTTCTTACTATCCCCACCAAAGTGTTCACATTCAGAGCATTATAACTAACGCGATTCTAATAAAATTATCTTATTATCTAATTTAAAAATAATATCATATATCATATATATATATATATGTGTGTGTGTGTGTATATGTATGTAATGATAAGTAATACAATTATCATTTCATTGTATTTTGCATTTCGTATCTAAATCTATCTATAATATATACGGTTGTATTTATCGTTTAATAATATGATATTGATATTTATTATTCGATAATTAATGCAAGATAAATGAAAATGTAATAATATATAATTAAAAATAAGTAAAATTAATATCTTATTATTTTAATCGAAATAAAATCTATTCGAAATCCAATTAGAAATATATATATATATATATATATATATATATATATATATATATATAATATACGCGTATTAATCGTAAGCTTTAAAAGAAACGTGACCGTCTCGTACGATGTCTTATGCTCGACTAATTTACTTGTTACATCACCTTTCTTCGTAGATACGTATCAGCTAACATAAACCAAAACGTAAACACGAACGAATTGATGATAAACTAATGAACGAAACTTTGGAATATATTCCTATTTTCCTACCTACCTACGTATATATATATATATATACAGATATCTGTGTCAACGATTAATTTAAAAATTACAAATTGTTTGAACGAGCAATGTTATCAACAAATCTCCTGATAATTCGTACAATAAAAAATACCGACCGTTTTCTATCTTTTTTTTGTTTCTTTTCTCTCTCCCTCCTCTCTCTCTCTCTTTCTCTCTCTCTCTCTCTTCTTTTATAAAACATCACATTGTAGTTAGTTCAGCGTATATGCGTTTATTTATCAAATTTTCCTCTCTTAAATTAATCCTCGAAAAACACGACTGGGGAAAGACCGCAGTAAAACGTCGACTGTGTTACCGTTGATTTTACGCCATGATGAAAATCACCGAGATCGTTGCCAACTCTTTCTCTCTCTCTCTCTCTCTCTCTCTTTCTCCCTCTATCTATCTATCTATCTATCTCTCTGTTCCTCTCGTTTGCTTTCTTAACAGAGCCAATAACGAGCGAAACATTTGCCAGCTTTCAAGGTAACCATGTCCAGCTGACAAGTAAGAATTATTTTCCTTTTCTCTTTTTTTCTTTTTTTTTTTTTTTTTTTTTTTCTTTTTTTTGCTCTTTGTATTTCTTTTTTCTTTCTTCTTCTTCCTCTTCTCCTTCTTCTTCTTCTTTTTTCTCCCTCCTTTCGAAGAATTGAACATATAACATTTTTATTATTTTCCTTTTTTCCTTTTTTCATTCTTCTTTGCATTATTTAACGCGCCTCGTTTTGAATATGACATAATTTATCCATTTTTACATTTTCTCTCTCTTTCTTCCTCCCTCTCTCTTTCTCTCTCTCTCTCTCTCTCTCTCTCTCTCTCTCTCTCTCTCTCTTTTCTTTTTCTCTGCCACATTTCATCTGGACTTAACATCTCACGTTTCTGTTCCGCAACTACCGACTCTTAAGCTTTACATATTATTTCACGAAAATTCATTGAATAATCCTTCCATGAAACGCGTTCGATAAACACGTTATACTCCTTTCTACGTGACGTAAAACTTATGCATTCTCTCTTCCCTTTTGAGAAAATAATCGTCCCAACTATATAACTATATCAATGATATCGCACGGAATAGCAAATGAGAACGTTTTACAAGGTGAATTTTTTTTTGCACTGACTGAACACGATTTTTCCACGACAAAAGTTTTAACAATTTCATCTTGAAATATTTGTAAAAAAAAGACAAAAAAAAAGAAAAGAAATCCTAATTATAATAAAAGCCGCGCTTATATTTATAGGCTAATAGAAAATTTATTAATTTAATAAATATATGTGATATATCCTAATAAATATTATAAGTATATATATATATATATTTTTTTTTTCTTTTTTTATTCCTTTTATATACATATATATATATATATATATATATATATATATATATATATATATATATGATGGAATTCATATGGGACAATGAATTTCTTGAGAAAAGAAAAAGTATTCTTTGATAAAAATATTTTGATATGAAAATAATATAATAATATTGTATACATATATTATTATTTATAT